CTTCGAGCGTGTGAATCAAACTCTCAATGAAAGCACCAATTTGTGGATGCAAATTTCCGCCTTCTTCTTCTTGGATGAAAATGCACCTGCAAAACAATTAACACCTAAGATCGAGGCCAAGAGCCTCAAGCGCCCACGATGAATGGGGGGGATTTGGAATGATTTGGGGTTACCTTGTGGGGAGTATTTGATTGGGATTGATGAAATAGGTTTTGAATGAATACCTATTTTGTTCACCTTTGATCTTGATTGAGCCATTATTATCCACTGCTTGCGTGTGGGAAGTCTGGTGTGCTTTGAGAGTAATTTTGTCTTTTTCACCCAAAAATCCACGTGTCGCCTTCATATTTTTCTTAATTATTTTTTGCTCCACATACATGTTATTGGATTTGCAACAATTTTGAAGCTTTCGAGCTTTCTTCAATGGAGAGAGAGAGAGAAAGGTAGAGTGGATAATGAACATGAGAAAGTTAGGAGCTAGCGTATTGGTTTGTGAAAAGAAAAATATAAAGTTTTTTTTTAAAATAGCTTTTATTGTTAATCCACTTGGCATCATGTAATTAGATAGGTTACTCGATCATGTGCCGCATCAGCACAACAACTATTAATTTTTAATGGAAAGCTAACGAAGAAACCAATTTGATTTGTAAGATCTATATTCAAAGACCAAATTGATGAAGTTTCTATTTTAAAAACCATTTTAATTTGGTTTAGTGGTATTCCTCTTTATTTGTAAGTGAGAGGTTTTACGTTCGATTCTCGCCAAAGGTGAATTTAAACTACATTATTGTTAGTCTATTGTGAGACTAAACCCACTTCCTCCCCCTTAATGTAAAAAATATCGTTTGTTCAAAAAACAAAAAGTAAAAACCATTTTAATTAAAAAGTTCAATTCCAAAGACCAACCGTGATAAAAACCCACTTATAATGGAATAACGACAAATTTTAAGTCAATTGAAATTTGAGCGATTGACTACTAGCGTGGCAAGAAGGCAGATTACGACGTCACCAATATATTTTCCCATTTGGCCAATATTATCTTGGATAAGCTTTCATCTAATTCGGTTCTTGTGAACTTCTACCTACTCTTGGACTCAATTGTTTCAATATCGTTTGCCTGTTCAAAGATAATAGAGATTCTAAAAAGATTGCTTTTGTTACTTTTAAGATCACTTGCAAGATGCAATAATTCATAAGTAATTATTAAATTTAAAGAATGACGCTATATATATATATATATATATATAATGGTATCACTCATAAGTATTAAAAGTACGTCAACGATGCGGTCAGTTTTGTCTAAATAACATTACTATTAATTAAATCACATGATCTAATACACAAAGTCATGTTGGTTTTTTTTGGTTGGTTGGTATAGTTGGATGGTCATTTTCCACCATATGTAGCTAGGTTTTGGGTATCAAAACATCCCGATTGGTACATGTTTAAAGAGAATAGCCGACAAGGTCTAGGCCTAAAGTCTAACTCCACTTCAAGTCTTCAACCATTGCATATGCAACTTTAACAATAACAGACTTATAGAGGTGGGATTTGGATCCTATTTGGATGCTCTTTGTAAGGATAGTAAGGATCCTCACATTCTATCCGTTTATCGTACATCGTGCGGCAAAAAATCTTTATAAATTTTTTTATTTAAAATGAAACACAAACAGTACCTAACGAAAACTGGTCTTATCCAAAAGTTGGGACCAAGGAACTTCCAAAAGGATAAAAAAAAGCATCTAAATAACCCACTTTTTTACTTAGGTTCATACTTCATATGCTTAGACATATATAGTTATCTCATCTTCCTAAAGGAGCATTTGCAATAGTTTTGGCTTTGTTTGGACCTCAAGAAATTGTATGTTCCTTAGGGCCTCCTTTGTTGGGTGGGTCAGAATATGGATAAATCCAATTAAATTGGTCATGTCTCATGTTTGATGAATGATAGTCGATATTGTACTATATATTTTATCTTAATTTTAGTATTAATTTATTGATTATTATGTGAGAATTTTGATACTTTGTTATATATTCCAATGTAGGACGTTTGAATTCCTCTTGAGCAAAAAGTATTCTAACGGATGAATTTTGGAATGATTTCAATTGGAGGATGTTCATTAGTCTCTCAGCTTGTTCATTTCAAAGTTTCAGATATTTCTACCAAGTGATTAAATTATAGTGATGAAATAAACGAGCAGCATACAGTGCTTTCAAAGTGACATTTTGGACTTATTTGGGCTTTTTGGCATCCAAGATGATGCCTTTTGGGTTCAAGGCCCTCTGCAATTATGTTTGGGACATTTCAAGCTTTAATTCAAGTTGTTTTGGGTCTGTTTTGGAGCCCTAAGAGCAATTCCACCGTGGTGGAGGCCCCCAAGGGCTATACACTATGCTATCCACCCAGTGAACAGTAACTGCCCTTAATGAACAGTAATCGCTTTTTGCATCTCCACCGTTACACTTGAATAGTCCTGGTTATTGGTAATAAAATATTACTATTTTTATTTATTTAGAAAATAATATAAAATATTTTTTAAACTTTTATTGTATTTATACCCATATTGGCAATAAACGAAGACATACCCACAACGATTCAACGGCAATGCAGTGACCAATGAAGAAATATAAAGCAATTAAAGCGATAAACAATCAAAGGGTCGGCGAATCGAAGGGAAAGTAGAGAAAAATGAGATTTGAAGAGAGCTTACGGTGTGGAAATCGCGAAGAGCAACGCCCGGGAGGTAGAAGTAGTGGGACGAGGAGATGAGGAGGAGCACGGTGAAGATAAAGGTCATCCTGGTGGTGGTTGTAGAGGGCGAAGATCCTCCTACCCATCTTCTTCTGGTCTTCAACTTGGATTCGAGAGAGAGAGAGAGAGAGGTGCTTATACAGAAAAAAAATATTAAAACAGGCGTCTGACGTCAGCTAACGTCAGACTCACCTTAGGCGCTCGGGCCGGCATGAATCCACGGGCCTAGCGCTCGGGCCTGCTTGGGCTCCCTCGCCAGCCAACACTGGACTTCGTCCCTCGGGCAATCAGGCCATGTGCTAAAGCCGGTCCATAGAGCAATTGCTCCCGCTGGAGCTGCTCTAAAGATCCAGAAACGTGGCTGTTTTGTGGCTGGGTTAATTTCCCGAAGCTATAATAGGAATGTATTTCCTAGTTATCTTATTCAATTATGTTTCTTACTTTTTAGAACACCTTTTCTAGGAAGGATTTTTTATCACAGACAAGTTGCATGTTCATATTTGATTATGAGTCTTGCATGTTCATATTTGATCTGAATATCACAGACAAGTTGCATGTTAGATATACGTTCTTGCTTGAATATCACGAGGAGAATATGCATTAGGAAAACCTAACATTCAAAGTTGCATGTGTAATTCATAAGTAATTGGTAATGTTACATATGATTGTTAAGGTAACGGTGGAACTCTAATGCTTAAATTGATTTTCAAAACTATTTTCTTTTGTTTTCTTTACTTCGCTAATTTCTTTAATTATTTTTATTAAATTCGTTTTTAATAGTTTAGGTCACAAAATCACCTTTTTCAAACTTTGTTTTCAAATAATTAATTAAAATTTGGTTTTAACATAAATTATTTATTCAATTCTTGTGGAGAACAACTTTGCTTGAGCTGCTATACTAAGATTATGTTGTACTCTTGCGTATTTTAAGTGGTTTTATCCCTATTTTTGCAGGTTGTAAAAATCCCATCAAAAAATTTGCCCCATTACTGGGGATTGTTTTGAATAATTTAACTCACTAAATCAAAAAATTGATCATATTAGAGAAACCAAATCTTCTCCTTAAGAATGGGACATTATGGAATATAGTTAGATTGAGCTGGTTTGGTAATGATGTGCTTTGAAAAAAAAAACTAATTTTGCTGTGCTGTGAGAATAAGCTCATTTTTCCTACTTCACGTTTTCAACTTTTTTTTCACCAAAAACTGTGAAAATAAGTTGTATTGAAGTGTTTACCAAACACATTTTTGAGCTCATTTTTTTTTTATATCCACTTTTTATAAAAGCACTTCAGTACCAAACTAGTACTTAATCTCAATCTTGGTATGGCTACAGTGCCATCATGACGTCATATGTCAATGATGCAAAGATATTTGTCAGTTTTTATTCATGCAATGTTGTATCATTAGCATAGACATCAACAATGAAAGTGTACACATATCATATAGGTCACTCTTCACCGAGTGAGACCTAAAGTCTTTTTTTTTTTTTTTTTTTTTTTGTTCAAACCTCCTAAAATCTATGGTAAGCACAAAAAGAAAGATCATGAGATTGAACATTATTCAACACACTAGACCAAGAGATTGTTCCAACTAGGCCCATGATTCTCTCACTTCTGTAATTGTTCCAACTAGGCCCATGATTCTTGCACTCAATTCGTATCCAGTGTTCGGTCCTATAGGTTGACCAAGGCCAAGAACAAGATCCGCCCCTCAGTTTTCGTATCAAACACGAGTCGGTAGCATAGTCGCATATTAACCAGGGAAGCTTTTGTCCACTATGTACACTTCGAATCTAATAGCTATATTTAATAGTTTACTGAACTTGGAAGTTAAATCTTTTGAAAAGCGTTGCCTCTCGTTTGGAAGTAAAGAAGTTTATAGTTTTGGAGACGTGGCCGTAATCAAGTTCGCTAGAATAATATGCTACTCATTTTAGACATTCAAGTCCGAATCTTCTTTCTGCGTATTTTAAATTAGATGAAGTGTTGAAGATCAAACGATTAAAAAGAAAAAAGGAGCGAATAGTTTCTTTGAACAGAGATTTTTCATATGGATTAAGCTTAGGTGGAAAAAAAGTAGAAACCGTGGTTGGGAACCTTAATAAGCTTGCAGGAAATGATTAGGGAAGGAATCAGATTAGCTAGCATTGCCAAAAAGCATCCCATGGATTGCTACTGCTTTGGTTTACTATTACTTTCTCCATACTTATTCTTCACCACCTTCGTCCTTTATATGTGCATATTGTCGAACTTTCTTAGCGCAATTAATTCATGTAATTTCATCTACCCCATCACCCTTAAAGTTAGAAAGAACGAATCAAAAGATTGAAAGAGGAAGTAAGAAAAATGGCAAAATGTTTCAATCGATTAATGTTGCCGCTTTTATCGGTTTTTATGGTTCTTTCAGGTATTATATCTTGATCATATCAATTTTTCTAGTTTATGTTTCTTTCACAATTTGTATGGATAATGACATTGATTAGAATGTAGTTCGGTTCTTTTGTAATCCTACAATGTATGATATTGAAATTCAAAATTTAATCTGTCACATCCTTGGAGTTTTAACAACCCGTTTTGTTAATTTGGGCACCAACATTTCAAGTTAAATTTTGGAGCAATTGGTTTCTTGGATGTTTGCAGGACCAAAGTTATCCGAGTCTGCTAGAATTTTCACCATTATAAACAATTGCAAAGAGACAGTCTGGCCAGCAGTGACTCCTGGGGAGAACTTCAATGGTGGTGGTTTTGTGCTAAAACCGGGCCAGTCAATCGTATTCACTGCCCCAGTAAGCTGGTCTGGCAGGATATGGGGTCGAACGGGCTGCAACTTTGACAAAAATGGCAATGGCTCATGCCAGACCGGGTCCTGTGGCAGCGCCCTCCAGTGTGGAGCCTCAGGAAAGCCCCCAGCAACACTTGCCGAGTTCACATTGACCGCGCTAGACTTTTATGATGTGAGCCTTGTTGACGGGTTCAACTTGCCGTTGGTTGTGACACCTCTAAATGGTAAGGGAAATTGCAGCGTATCCGGTTGTGACATGGACCTGAGACCAAATTGCCCTAATGAGCTAGCTGTCAAAGCAAATGGGAAGACCGTTGGATGCAGAAGCGCATGTGACGTGTTCGACACTGATGAGTACTGCTGCAGAGGGCTTTATGGTAATGCTGCTGTGTGTAAACCCACATATTATTCCAAGAAGTTCAAAGAAGCATGCCCTACTGCCTACAGCTATGCTTACGATGATCCGACCAGTATTTTTACTTGCTCGGGCACAGATTATGTCGTCGCTTTCTGCTCAACTAGGTTTGTCATCAGTTAATTACATGCACTGAAAACTGTTTTGAATCTCTCTTTGGGATTTGGATGCAGGGATTAGATAATCGAGGTTCGAAATAAGAAAAGATTTTGAACATTGAAATTTGATTCTTGCTTGTATATTTGTAGCTTCGGTAACGTTCTTTTGCCAAATATATGCGCACTCTTGATCGTGCACGCTTTGCAACTAAATATTGATCACTATTTTAGCACTTTGCATCTGATTATTTCCTTGTGGTGCAAGTTATTCACTTTTATTGTTGTTTATATGCATGCAGGAAGCAACCAGTGTGCACATATCATAACCACAAGCTTGTGTGTGGTAATGGATCTGGATCAGTAGGTTTAACGTCATTGAGATGGTGGGCTGTGATGCTTGGAGTGTTAATGATGATTAATTTATGGATTAATTTTTGAAAACAGAGTTTTATTTTTTAACCTAAGTTTAGAGGTGTGTTTTTTGCATCCCTTTTGAACTTGGAAGCAGCACTTAAGAAGAATGTCTTTTTTTTCAGAGAATTGTCCATGCTGGTTGGTTGTACATGATGATGTTCATTTTATTCTTTTCTTTTCGAAGAGAAAATATATTTGAATGCAGTTGATATACTCAAACTTTTCTTCTCTCCACTCTCCATCTTCAACTTCTGATTTACATGATCGAAAGGTTGAGTTATTAACTTCTTCAAATAATTAAATCAACTTAATTTTGCCAACGAATACTTCATCGAGGGAGGTCCTAAGTTGAAATCTCATGGATGATAGTTGTTGATTAACTAAAAGGGATGGATCATAGAAGATATGAGTTTAACCATATTGGCCAAAGCAGTGTGCTCTACCCTTTGAACCCAGTTCGAATCCCATGAATTCATTGTAATTGTTAAACAAAAAGGTGGTTCATGAGTTTGAATCTTTGGTCAGTCTCGGTCTAATAAACTCGAACCCAAATTTCCAAACAACTTCAATGTGTTTGGTTCAATCATATTGAATTAGATCGTGAACAATATGAATCGACACTTTATTATCACAATACTTCTTTTTTTTTTATTAAATTTATTATCACAATACAATCGTAAGAAGTTTTATTCTGAAGTCTCAATTTTGTCATTACACGTTTAACCCATTATAACTCACAAATATAATGTGATATACCTCGATGCTCAACTTGGCACTCAATCTAGTCCATGCTTCAAAGTATATAGAAAAATTCATAATAACAAAATCAAACGAATATATGTACGCATGTAAAACTGTAATTAGCGGGTAAATAGAAACACCAACTCAAAATGGAATGAGCCAAAATCACAAAGCATTGTCTGTCAGCGTTAGAAATACCAACCACGTATAAAGGACCTCTCTCTCCAAAACAAAACGCACCAAGAAAAGTAAAATAAAATGGCGGGTGGTGGAAAGGTCTCCTTCAAAGTTACTCTAACCTCCGATCCGAAGCTTCCCTTCAAAGTGTTCGTATCGCATAACCCCCTCAATTTCTATTCCAACTCCTTTTTCGATTTTTCATAATTTTTTTTTTATAATTCAATCAATTTTTTGTGAATTTTTTTTTTCAGGTTTAGCGTGCCGGAAGCAGCCCCTTTCACCGCCGTGCTGAAATTCGCGGCCGAGGAATTCAAAGTGCCTCCCCAAACCAGCGCTATCATCACCAACGGTAATCTGATTTCTGGGCTTTTGCATGTCGCTGTTGATTTCGTTTTTGTCTCGTAAAGTTTGTGACTTTCTGATTTATGATTTGGGTTTTGTTGGAAATTTCAATTGATTTGCTTGTGGAGTTTAGTGTGCATTGATCGGAATCGATTAGGGTTTTCGGTTTCTGGAAATTGAGCATCCCTTTTTTCAAGATCCAAAGTATGAGATTGCAATACGCTTATGAAGGTTAGATCTTGTGGTCTTTTTAACTGACAGCTCGGACTTATAATTCATGTAGATCTATAGCGGTATAAACCTCGACAAAAAGACCGAATTTTGAAATTAGGGAATGTATAGAGCTGAGGTAAGAAAATGGGGAATTTGAATTCAGATGACATTCTCAAATTTGATATTAAAAAATGTTTCGTCATTTGGTCTTATGGGATTGAGTTTTCTAGAATTCCTCAAGAATATTAAGAGCGCATAATTTGTTCCGCTTCAACTGAAACGTAAATGAAATGTCCTACATTTTGTATGAATTTGGAAGGATCAATGTGGCAGTTTGAAATGCACCCAACACATGCCGATATCTTAGTCCTCGTCCCTTCAAGGGACAATGAGTTTTGTCTTTTTAGTTTAAATTATTGTCTGATTTTTCCTATCCCAAGATCCAATCTGAAATTAGAATTGATACCATCCAATCTTTGGACAATTGAAATTTTGACAAACAGTAAGATTTCTGTGAACAATAATAGCTTTAGCTTTTATTTGATAGACTCATAGAAGTAAATGTATGATAGAATCACAAGGGACGGTATAGATTTGTGCAGCGTACTTTGCATGACCTCTCAATTTCCAGGTTATCATTGCCTTGGGTGTTGAGATGTTGTTTCTTATATCTCACTTGTTTGTTATTATTTGTGCAGATGGTGTCGGAATCAATCCTCAGCAAAGCGCAGGTATGCCAGTGCTTTACCTTTGTTGGTGTAATTTTAAGTTCTCTATTCATTTTTGTGCTCTGGGTAAATGGGGGTAAGGTTAGCCGACATTCACCTCTCCCAGACCCTACGTAAAGCGGGAGCCTTGTGCACTGGGTACGACCTTTTTTATTCATTTTTGTGCTATTGTATAATTTTGTACCCTGGTGAGCATTTTAGATCCATTCTTTAGATTTTTGGGGGAAATTGAGATTCCACCCCAAAACTAATTTGTAATTTGGGAAGTGGCCCAACTAGCCCTTGCAAGGTTTCTTAACTTTTCAATGTGGGACACATCTTCACAATATACCCTACCAATTTCATACCCTACCAATTTCATCTCAGAATTAGTGTTTGATATGACGTTAGTTTGACATGAAAGTGTGTATGATTCCTTGCCCCCTATGCATCTCCTAGCTGGGGTAGGGAACCGTTACGTGTAAGTTCTGCATCTGTATCATTCTTTGCATATCAAATAGGACCCATTGGAACAAAATATATAAAACTTAAAACCTGCCATCGTGGGATGATTATCAGCAGTCGACTTCAAAACTAGTAGGGGGTATAAATAGGAGTTCCAAGGATTCTCCTTATGAAAACTATTTAGTGGTGCTTAGTTTCAATGCTATGATGTATATTCGTGTACACAAAAAAAAAACAAATGTTGCTATGTGCACTCCCCAAACAGATAGATATTAAACTGTCAACTAGAATAATTGTGGTATTGAATTCATCATTATTGTTAGCATGGATTAGACCCTTGGTTTCACACAAACTTTGACTGGCTTTCTCAGGGAATGTGTTCCTCAAGCATGGTTCTGAACTACGCCTGATTCCTCGAGATAGGGTTGGGGCTTTTGGAACAATGGACGCTGCATTACAATCAAACTGAAGGGATTGGTCTACTTCTGATTGCGGTTCTATTCCCTTTTTATGATCTTGTACCTTATTAAGTTGGGAGGATTTTCAAACTTTAGTTGACGATGTAAAACCATCCAATTGAACGAGATAACAGGTGAGTGAAATAGATGCTCTTAAATAATATTACAAGGATAATTTTACAGTTCTGGTGTTTTTGTTGTAGATTCATCTGTGGTTTGTGTTGGAGTTGAATCCCTCCTGCATGCTTTAGAACATACATAGCGTCTTATACCCCCGAAATCTTTGGTGATCCCGGGGATTGCTCGGGAACTATCCGGTACCCCTTTTACCATAGAGATACCACTACACTTTCCGAAGCCACCTTATACATGCTCAGTTTGGCTGGGCTTGGGCTGCAGTGTTTGTGGTCTGGGCAGATCATTGCTTGTAGGGCCAAACCAGCTGGGCACGGGTTCAATGTGTTTTAGAGACCCTAAGTTGACTAGGGGCTCGTTTATAAGTTATTTTAAAATGACTGAAAGCGTTTTTGGTAAAAATATTTTTGAAACTAATCCCTTGGTAAAAATCTAGATGAATCTTGGAAAGCACTTTTAAGTGTTTTTGAAACCGAAAATCAATTTCATCAAAAACATTTTCAGTCATTTTAAAAGTACTTCAAAACAAGTCCTAAAGCAGTGTGTTTGCTTTCTAGACCAAAAATTGAATCATTTCATGTAGTGTAGATTAGATAGGATTAGATTAAAAAAATATTATCTGAAAAGGATCCGGCGAAGATTACAAATCTGGGAGCTTTGATGGAACTCATCGACAAACTTCACCCCTTTTTTCTTTTAAGTGCTTATTGAAATTTGAACAGGCTTGCCTAAAAATTAGTATGTATTATCTAATTCTAGCCAACCAAATTGAACACCAAAAACCCCTATATTGTTTTGATGATGAGTCAAGTTGAGATTTTTTGGACTCAAATGAAAGCCGGGATTTGAACTCGGAATCTTTAGAAAAAGAATCAAGATTATGGGTGTCACTGAACCAAACGATCAATGTCCCTCAACTTTTAAAACTCGTCAACACAAATATCTCGACTCTTGAGTGCTAGTCCAAAGGCCACGAGTTTCTAAAATGGAAGGTAGGACATCTCTCAAGAGACAAGGACAAATGCATTTAGATATGCATCTAACAAGAGAGCTCTTAGATTTACTTGTCTCCCTTAACCAGCCTTGTAAGTTTATGCACATCAATGGCATCCATGGCTAATAGCAATGGCAGCCCCACCACCTCCACAGATACCATTTTGGCATCGCCTATTGAGGAGGATATTGATGCAACGTGCAGGAAACTGCCTGGGATAGTAAAGATTAAGACATTTATGGACCTTTCCTTCGGTGCGTTTGGTCTGCCTACAACCTCCCAACTCCTCCTAAGTTAACATGTTTGGATTTACCAGTTTGATTTTTGGTAGATCTTCGTCTGTGAATGGTACTTTAAGTGGGGTTGAACTTATTAGTCACTTTAAACTTCCTTTTACAATTTGGAGAGATATACGCAAACCCACTTTATGCTTGTTTTGTTGGACGAACATTTACATTGATTATTAAATTCCAAATTCAATAGATGTTAAGTTTGAATCTTATAAACGATAGGTATTGAATAAAAAAAGAAATATCAATATTTGTGAACTTTGCAAAATCTTTACTTCTGCCATATACGAAACTCACTTTGTTTCGACTTTATACATCAACTAGCATATCAATATTCTTTTTTCTTTATCCAAACAATATTGAACAAGCAGAATCAAACTAGGAACCTTAGATCAAGAGAATGAATGCTTTTAAGCAAGTGAGTTTTAGGCGCTTTTTACTAGTATGTCATAGTTTATATATGTGATGATAAAAACCCAATCATAAACTAGCTTTGTGTTTGTAGATCTCGACATTCGATTTACTCTAGACAAGTGGGTAGCTACAGCAACCAGTCCATTGATGAACTACAAAGTATTTACTCATAGCGTGGGGCAAGCTCTTCATTCATGTATATATAATAAACACTTGTAATACAACCAACATTTAGATCTTAAAATTAAGAACTAGTTATACATACTTCAACAATTAGGGACGAGAAAACTTTCTTGATTGTTGCGGGTGTCTCACACTCATAGTCGCATGTCGTTACTCACATAACGCACCCAATGCAAGACTCTCGATTCATGCAATGAGTCTTCAATGGGCTGAAACAAGTCATTCCAAGGAGAGGGTGGCACAAAAAATTGATTAAAATCCGTTCCACGGGACAGCACGTCCCAAGTAAATTGGCGCACCAAACGTGTGACAAGTGTGTTCCGTCCTACTGCGTTCCGTCGTATCCCACGTACCAAATAGTACCTCGAGGATCCATGTTATGCTTGGATTGTTTGTTTTCTTAAGGATGAAATGCTTTTAGAGTTTTACTTTGACCCATGTGCTTTGAACTTGTATAGTTTTGTAATCACAAATGATCATGTAATTTTAATTATTCCATTTGTGATTGGACACGGTAATTTTAAACTTGAGTGGCAACCCTTGCTTCTACCCAACTACACATAGACACATGTCCATTCTTTATTTACAATTTTAATTATTTATACACATATTCATCATAAATTGAATAAAAACAGGAAGTGCTGCAATTTGCAACGTTAAAAGCGTTGTTTCACTCTTTTTTCGTGAAAAAAGTTTAATCTATGAAATAATAGGGCCCAGGGGCAGAATAGTCACAAGAAAAAAGAGGGTCCTACGGATCAAGGTTGTGGTGGCATCCCATCACGTGGGAATTCGTTGAAAGCTTAAAAGGTGAAAAGTGTTTCGAGAAGTCTCCGGTTCGGGCACTTTTACCGGACTACCATGTACCCAATAAGTCGGTCGTCCAAATGTCGATGGCATTTGGTAAACTTACACAAATTAATCTCTGTGCTAATCCAATCGGGTTTATTAGGTGTCCGATCCTAATATTGTTTTTAGAGTGGATAATGTTAAGGATATCAAATTTTCTATATCAAATTTGAAAATCAAAAGATGTGGTTGTCGATGATCGAATTATTAACTAAGTGTCAATCAACATGTTTGTTTTTTATTGATGACACATCATTTGATTTGAAAATTTGCTCTCCTTAACATGAAGCGAGAATTGGTCCCTAAATTTTTACTACGCTTTAAATTTCATTCATCAATTGTCACTTAGTACTATAGTCTAGTAGTACTCCTCTTCATTTATAAATGAAATGTCTTATACTCGATTCTCACCAAAAATCAATTTGAACTATATTATTACAAGCCTATTGTGAAGCTTAGTTTACTCTCACACTCTCTCAACATAAAAAAGATCCTTTGTTCAAACTAAAAAAATTTCATTTATCAATTAAAAATTTGTTAATTTTTGTTTCTAAATTTTATTTAACGTAGAAAATTAGTCCATCTGTGGTTGCAGACACAGAGGCATTTGGTGGGGAGGAATGAGGCGGAGGGGAGAGAGGTCTAGGTATGATTTTTTATTGGGTAAATTACATAGTAACCCCTCAAGTTTGAGGTCTATTACAACCCCATATAACATCTTTAAAACATTTCACTTTCATACCTCAAGTACTATTTTATTTCAATATAATACATCCGTTAGCTTTTTCCATCAATTATCCGTTAAATGCTGACGTGGCTGCCACATTTATGCCACGTGGCTGCCAAATGTGTGCCACGTGGCCAAAAAAATAATTTTTTTATTTTTTATTTAAAAAAAAAACTAAATCTTCTAAATAAATTTAAAAAAAAAAAAAAACCAAAAACCAAACCCCACTTCGTCTTCCCTACCTCCTTCCCCCCTCCCCCAAAAAAAACCCAACCTGCAACCTGCAACCTGGAAGAAGAAGAAGAGAGAAAAAAAAAAAAAAAAAAAAAAACCCATCTTCATCTTCCCAGACCCCCATTCCTTGCAACCCACCCCTTTCTTCCCCCTCCCGTCTTTCCCAAATCCACCGCACCCATCCTCCACATCCTCCTCTGCACCCACCCTCGCAGCCACCCTCTTCCCCCCTCTACACACCCCACTCCTTAAATCCATACCCATTGAGGAAGATGGGATTTGGGTTGCAGGGAAAGGGAGATGGATTTTTTTTTCTGGGTTGCAGGTAGTGTGGAAGGGGGGCTTGAGTGAGGTGGGTCGCGGGGTTAAGGGGAGGGATAATCGATGGGGGTGGGATGGGGGATCTGGGGAAGGGATAATCGTTTAGGGGGGGGAGTGATGGGATCTGGGTTTGGTTTTTTTTTTTTTTTTTTGGGTTGAAGATTCAGTTTTAAAAAAAAATTATTTTTTTGGCCACGTGGCACACATTTGGCAACCACGTCGGCATTTAACGGATTAATGGATGAAAAATCTAACGGATGTATTATATTGAAATAAAATAGTACTTGAGGTATGAAAGTGAAATGTTTTAAAAATGTTGTATAAGATTGTAATAGACCTCAAACCTAAGGGGTTACAATGTAATTTACCCTTTTTTATTTTAAATCTTAGTGGCTTAATACCAGAAAACGGAACAGAGTTAAAATGGAAAAACAATTCTCTAAATTTTTTCAAATTCAAGGATGAAAGTTTTTAATTCACGGACGAAATTTGAACTATAGTGAAAGTTCGAGGATTAATTTTGTAGTTTACTCTTGTTTATAAAAAATAAACAATCTTAAAAATTCAATTTGTGACAAAAAAAAATCTTAAAAAATTCAATAAAACAGTGGAGATTGCACATTCCAGGTTCCAACTTGTTTGGATAACTAAATCCTCCCCATACTTTATCTTCTGCATTTGTAAACACTTTATCAAATTAAAGGGGTTATCTGCCTTCTTAATCTATGTGTTTCAATTTGTTAATCAGTTTATCGTAATTTCTGTTTATTTTGATTACTAATATACACACACAGTTATCAACTCATCAAGTAAATAACGAACATACAAAAGGAACTAAATGAGTCAACTCCTCCACTCTGACATACAAACCCTTTGTGATGAAATATCCCAAATGGTCCCAAATAATTTCAAATATGTTTTTCATCTTGAATTAGGCATCATCAGTTAGTGGTCCTCTAGGTTTTGTTTGTGTTGATCCAATTTTTGGGGTCAAGCCAAATTGCTTACCCACCACTAACCACTATACGCATACTT